TATTGGATTGACTGGTGTTGTAGTCTCTATTGGACTGATTGGTATTGTAGTCTCTATTGGATTGATTGGTGTTGTAGTCTCTATTGGATTGATTGGTGTTGTAGTCTCTATTGGACTGATTGGTGTTGTAGTCTCAATTGGACTGATTGGTGTTGTAGTCTCTGTTGAATTGACTGGTGTTGTAGTCTCTGTTGAATTGACTGGTGTTGTAGTCTCTGTTGAATTGACTGGTGTTGTAGTCTCTGTTGCATTGACTGGTGTTGTAGTCTTAGTTGAATTGATTGGTGTTGTAGTCTTAGTTGAATTGATTGGTGTTGTTGTCTCAGTTGAATAGCTTACTGCTGTAGTCATTCTTGAAGTGATTGATGTTGTAGTCGGTGTTACAGTGATTTTACAAATGCAGGTTATGCCACCTGTGACGCTGGAGATCCAGTCTAAGTAAGCGGACACCCTTGTATACACTGTTGGTTTGTCGAGCATAGCACAGTTCGAGTCACTATAGCTGATTATACCGACTTGAGCAAACCGACCGTTGCACAGCTGTACAACAAGGGGACCACCACTATCAGCCTGTGGAGAAGGTAACGATGCAAAATGCATGAAATATGGGAATGCCTGTGACCACTGAGAAAAATGTCATATATCAAATGTTAAAAAATATAAAGTATATTGGTATTACCTTACGATAACACCAAAAACACTTATGACACCGTGCAAATAAAACGTTTTCTTACATGGCAGGGGGCCTTATACGGTGTACGAGTACACAAGACCTTAGTACTGTCTGGCGGTAATGACGTATTCTTTTCACAGTCGTTCATTGTAATAACGTCCAATACAACTTCCAGCAGGGTGGTTGATCCAGAACCATCTGATGAGAAGAAACCATGAGCTCTTACATAAATAATATGCTCGTTTCACGAACAAACAGAGGATCTTACGCAGAAACACAAACATTCCTTCACTGATTTGCGCACACAATGCGCAAACTTTGCGTGTATGAATGCATTTAATATCACATACTATATATCATGTGTACTGCAAAGACCTTTATGTATAGGTTAGGTCTTTACTTGTGTGTATGTTCCCATTATTCTGCACACTCACTGAAAGAAGTGTCACCCCATCCCGCGGCCACAGCCTTTCCTCCAAAGGGATTGTCTTCCTCCAGTCCCAGACAAATGGGCCGAACAGTGTTACTGAAAACAAGTGGCTCAGGGAGCTCCACCACAGCAATATCGTTGGCCTAAAAATGGAACAAAGAAACAAAGACATATAATAAAAATTTACCTGCACGTGTATTATGTAATATTTTTGTTAGAAACACTATGCTTCCTGGCAGCATTGCTAATTCAGATATCTTAATATCTATGCAAAATGACAAGCTAAAGTGACCCATGCCTACTGGAAGCAAGCAGTCCTGTGGCTCTAAAGAGGTTGATGTTATGTCATACACATTTCCATATACTTATTTCATCCCAATAGTGCCAAATTACCAGTGTGGTTGCGTTATATTTTAGATGTTCGATATATCTCGATGCTATCACGGAACTTTGGTTTTGCAAGAATATCGATCCATATCGTACTTCTACTCTTGTAGCCCGGTTCCTGTTTGAGTTGTGGAATCTTCTTATTAAAAGGGTTATCTCAAGTATTGCTAATACTCTTGTTATAGTCATTCTCAGTTTTCTTCAAATTTATCATAAGTGTTTTCGTTCTCTATATATCACTTTACAAATCATACTCAATGCTACGACATATCCTTATGACACTTACATGTTTTCATCATAAAAACAATGAGCAGCTGTGAGGATACATCTGTCCTTGATGATGGTGCCACTACATAAATACAATACACCCTGTATAGTGCTAACTAATGCCACTTGATATGGGTACTTCCCCACAGATGCTTCGGTGCCATTGACAATCCTCATATTGCTAACATTAACTGATGCAATCCCACAGTCATCTACCGACAGAAGAAATATTTGTTTTATTAAGACTGGACTGAACAGTCAACTGAACTTTATTTCACAGAAAGAAGGATGAAATAAAGTAAACCAACCACAATAGGGTCTCCTGATGTTGCATGGTGTAGTAGTCGCTGCTGGTGATACCGAGGCAGTGGTCGTTGGTTTAGGTTCTAGTGATTGCAGGGTTGGAGTGCTGCTATCACTGTCCTCCACTTGAAGGGTAATATTCCGATATTTACTCTCAGTATCAGCAATTTAAAACTTAGCTTTTATAGTTCTTTCACATATATGTGCCTTATACTTCATTGTGAATTATAACATGAACTTGAAATACGATATTGATAATTGCTTCCCTTTCCTAGCATGGGTATGAGAGGGAAGTGAGTGAGCAACAGTTAGAAGAGGGGGTTCTGCGACGTGCTGGCATCTAGGTACTCTTTTTGTTTCATTTAGATCCTACATTAAAGGAAGTTTAATAACCAGTAGTGACAATAACTAACAACACTGCATTGCACCTTGAGCATTGG